ACTGGGTTCATGTATATGGCTGTATGTAATGCAGTGAAAGATTGCAGGACCCTGAAGGACTTGTGGGAGTGGAAAGAAAACCATTACCCCAGTGTCTGCTTAGCTTCTGCAAGAGTGGAATTTTGTGTAAATCTGTGGGGGAAGATTTCACTAAGTTTGCTTAGACAAAATTAACTGAAAATGCCCTCAGATGAATAGGAAAGCCAGAAAGAACAGCTTGTGGGGGCTTCCCCTCATGACAAAAGTCATGATCTTATAAATGTATAAATGTAAAATGGTTTATTGAAGAACTAACAGAATTAATATCTTTTTTAGGGTATTTTAGGGTTAAGGTTTAGACTTGGCTTGACATATACAAATGTATGTGGGTCAAACGAGACTGCGCAAGTCGGTTAAATATATCATCGGTATGTTAAGTTCACTGGGTTCATGTATATGGCTGTATGTAATGCAGTGAAAGATTGCAGGACCCTGAAGGACTTGTGGGAGTGAAAAGAAAACCATTACCCCAGTGTGTGTGTGTGTGTGTGAGTGTGTGTGTGTGTGTGTGTGTGTGTGACTCTGAGATTGCACATCACTGAGGTGCATGAGCATAAGATTTGCTTCCATTTCTGTTGGCTTCACTTCAGTCCTCAGAACAAAATATGTGTTCTTCACTGCTGAATCAGCTTCAGTTCACAAAGAAAAACTCTTTAGACAAATGTTAAATATACTTTTTACATTATGTCCATCATTGGTTTATGTAAATGTGAAAATGAAATGTGTTTATATAGTCAGTTCTCATTAATACAGATTTAACGCACTCCAGAAAGTTTTCAAAAGTCTACTTTAGAAATATATTTCAAATCTAAATCTAACAGACTTTCAAAACGTTACAAAAACAGGGTTAGAGCAATTCTTGTGATGTCTTAAGGCCTGTTCAAACTAAGAACGTTCATTTAAAAAGTTGACTAACAATAATTCTAATTAATTCTAATTAATTAACCAATTAGTGCCCACACCAATGGCCAATAAAAGTTTTATGTGTGGTCCATATTTTCTACTCGAAAATTACTTATATTCATATGTACAAACTTTGATTGGGAGTTTCAGCAAAAACGACTTCTTTCAGCTAAATGGAACAAAATAAATAATATTTTCCAGAACCAGCACCTTATAAAATGAGATGTAAATTGCCAGAGACCAAACTCAAAGTCTTCAAGCCATTTCTGCTGCTGGATGACTTCATACCAGTCTCAAACAATGGCTCATTGACCAAATACTGGCAAAAGCAAACTGTAAACAGGGTGGTGTCCACCACTGAACTAGAATTAATGAAAGCTTTGTTACAGTTTGACCTAATGCAGATTCAGAATCTGTTTTTGAAGGAGTGTAGTCTAAAACCTGTGTCATAGGTTTCTATGGACTGCTGGCACTGGTGTCCAGTGGTGTCAACAGCTGCAGTATATGCCTCTTTAAAAATAGCTGAAGAATGATGCTCTACAAAAGTAATCAGATATCGCATTATGTAAACTGCTATGTCATAGATAGCAATGAAACAATGAAAGACAACTCACAAGCTCATATGTTTACACAGACAGAAACTGAATCAAGCAAAACCGAGTGCATGCATCCTCAACCACATGTTTGCAATTCGTCCACAGGAAATAAAAAAGCAAATTAAATCTTTGAGTTGGTAAAGGCAGCACCTGGGGAAAAACACATTTTCTGTGCCCTTTATGGTCACAGAGTGCTTTGCAGAGCAGGAAATCACAGCTGCATGGACAAATCCACTCCATACTCCGCTCCAGTTCCCTCCTCACTCAGTAAGAGGACTTGTTCTTGACAGATTGTGAATGCTGCACTGTTCTCCTGCCATCTCTGAGGCCTGTTTATGGCTCCTGCCCCAGACAAACTCTCTCTCTCTCAGCCCTCTAATGTTTGCATAACTTCAGTTTTAGAATCAAGAAAAATGGAGGCAAAAGTCCTGCTCTGGCTGAAGGTTTGGAGACTAAAAAAGATTGCAGAGACAGGGTGAGGTAGTCTAGCGCAATTAAGTTTAAATATATGAAACACTAAATGAGTTTTTACAAAACTGGTGCACATATGACTTTTTTTTAAAACATAAATCATGAACGTTTTTGGTATGACAAACATTTCTGCTACAAGAAACCATTATCTTTGTAAGCAGCTGCAAGCCTGTTATAGGAAAGAGTTGAGTCATTTTCCCAATAGTATCTCACATAACTGAAATATCATCAGTCTGAGCCACTAAAGTCTATTTCTAAGGTCATGTTGTCCAACTGACAGAGACAAACACATAAAAATTATTACTTTGGGCCTATCTTTGGGTTTTGGGCACACAAGAATGAGGGAAGAGGAGCAAAATTCTTGCTGGCCACTTGATATGCAATTTGAGTGGATGTGTTTATACAAAGAGATGTGCATATGCCTTATATACCACACATTTAAATGCCTGTGTGACTTTTTACCATCTTTCATGATGCCCTTTGTTATGATCTTTCAGGATATAAAGAGACTTACTTCCAGAATTTCCTTTCAAATTAGCTGAATAGTTCGTGGATGGACACATTCCAAAATAATGATTTTTCCAAAATAATTAAAAAAATGATGAGCCTTTTCACAGACGATGATGCATGTGATGATGCATTTCAACAGTTATCAGCATTGTAAATCCTGCAAAGATTAAAGTTGCTTCCAGAATTTCCTTTCAAATTAGCTGAATAGTTCGTGGATGGACACATTCCAAAATAATGATTTTTCCAAAATAATTTAAAAAAATGATAATGAGCCTTTTCACAGACGATGATGCATGTGATGATGCATTTCAACAGTCATCAGCATTGTAAATCCTGCAAAGATTAAAGTTGTTTAAATTTGTTAAAGTTTAAACTTTAAATTTGTTAAAGTTGCTGTGAGGGTGTTTCTAATACAGCAACTGTGGGAGTGACTAAATTTGACATTGTTTGTTCTTCTGACTGCAATTATCAATCTCTCTATTTTTTTCTTCCTATTTTTGAAAGTCATAAAAAGTTGGGGAACTTTTCTTTTGCCAAATTCAATTGCCCTGCAGAGGCATGTCATGTTACTTCTAACTTTGTTATCTCATACTACTTTTAGGGGGGGGTTCATATTTATAACTGGCTATTTAAGGTTGTCACGGTGTGTACACTGCAACTGCTATTGGAATAACCTGAAAGAACCTCTACTATCAACATAGGTTCCTCTGTTTACTGGTTTAATAAATGGTGACCAGTCAAAATAGGCTTGGCATGAAGGAAGGTATTTTTGAACTGTGTGTCTAGTACATGATCAGGCAGAGGGTGTTCATATCCAGGGTTATCAGAGGTCTTGTTGTGTCTAAATCTGCTTTACATGGATATATTCATAAAGCCCAGGTGTCAGGTTATACTGCATCAACTTGACCAGTCTCTTCTCAGAAATCTGCATTATTATTCTCATTTTTCAGGTGCTTGAGTGTTTAACTTGAATACTATAGTCAATTTGCTTATAACTCTACAAGAGCAAAGAAACTCGAACTATCATTTGTGTTTTGTCCCAAAACTTTTATGATACCAGCTTAATTGACACAATAATGTTGTCACTTTGGCAAGTAAGTAAAGTCTACACCGGACAGATCAGACATATCCTTACTTAGTCTGACTAGTTATTGAGAAAAATAATCTGAAAATTTGAATTTTTATTTTAGAAAAATCACACCAAATACATACTCATTTACCAAGACATCCATTCTTTCTTTAATAAAATACAACCATTCTTTATCTTCACATCTGATTCAAACATGACATCACAACCAATTCCACTCAGATTCACTGAATTGCACTTAAAACATAAAAATTATCCAAAAAAAAGACTACTTACTTTACAATGACATTTGCTGAGATCCTAAGGCACAGAAACCATTATCATGGCATTTGTTTAGCTTATTGCATTCATTTGCATTAAATTCAGCACATTAAATTTCGAACACATCCAACATGAAAAAAAGAGACCCCTAAACGTATGTGCATCTTGCAGATAAAAACTTGATAAACAAAATGATCAAAACCAAAATTATTTCAATGCTATTGTAGTACCTATTAAATATGATAAATAAATATATATTTTTTTTTTTCCTTCTGAAAGTTTGTAACCAGTAAAGGTTACCCCCTTCAATATGAAGGACAATCTCACTGGTTGCATACCAACTGTTCATCTCTTCCATAAAAGAATCTTCAACTGGAAATCGGCTGAAAATTGGATAGTGAGACATATGCTTTAGATACAAATATCCTCATATATTTAGACTTGATTTTCACTTGGTATCATTTTTTATAGTGCACAGTCTGCAAATGTGACACACAATGTCACAATTTTATACAATGGATCGACAAAGATGTTATATACTGTTTACTCCAGACCCCCTAGTGTTCTTGTTTACAGACAACATGAAAAAAAGAGACCCCTAAACGTATGTGCATCTTGCAGATAAAAACTTGATAAACAAAATGATCAAAACCAAAATTATTTCAATGCTATTGTAGTACCTATTAAATATGATAAATAAATATATATTTTTTTTTTTCCTTCTGAAAGTTTGTAACCAGTAAAGGTTACCCCCTTCAATATGAAGGACAATCTCACTGGTTGCATACCAACTGTTCATCTCTTCCATAAAAGAATCTTCAACTGGAAATCGGCTGAAAATTGGATAGTGAGACATATGCTTTAGATACAAATATCCTCATATATTTAGACTTGATTTTCACTTGGTATCATTTTTTATAGTGCAGTCTGCAAATGTGACACACAATGTCACAATTTTATACAATGGATCGACAAAGATGTTATATACTGTTTACTCCAGACCCCCTAGTGTTCTTGTTTACAGATGTGTCTAACTCTATAGGAAAGGGGTCATCACATGTTTTACTTAACAAAAGAATAAAACATGCCGTATTGCACTGTAGCAACATGTTCCATCTAAATAAACAAGGTTCACTCTCTTCCCTCTTTAGTCCGCTAATAGACAGCTGATCTAGGTCTACTTGTAAAGTAATCAGCAGGTATATCATATTAAGAGCTTTTAAGAGAACATTAATCTTCTTCTGTTGTCATACGGAGATATTTATTGTTGCTAAAACCTTTCAACACATTTGGATAGTTAATTATGTGAGCTCAAGTCACCAATAGGGGCCACTGGTTGCAATGTGCCCCCAACTCTGCCAGTTTGGAAAAATGCTATTGGACTGGAGCGGACTTTTACATTTATACATTTCCTTGTCTAGTGTTTTCTTGCCTAACATCCTGGATTCATTCGGTTTCTTTCCCTGGTTTGAGGAATTCCATATATTGTTTTGTTGCCAAGATGTTGAAACCAGTCCATAGTTTCTGCCATCGTTGTTGTCCCAGTGGGTCTGCTCTCCAGTTCTGTAGCTAATGCAAAATTCGACCTTATTCTGAGGGGGCACATACCCAGGCAGTTCAATGGCAAATGAGAATGTGTCTGTATCCTGACAACTGTAGACATTATTCATAAACGTGCATTCCACATCCTGGAAGCTCTTCCATGTGTCGAAAGTGATCCGCACATGAACCAACTTCTCGTAGGCCAGGTTACGCACTTTGATGGTGCCAGTGAGGGCCCGCTCCTGAAGAGTACAGTTCTCCAAACAAACAAAGTTTTTCAGCAACCGGCTACGGAAATCTAGGTAGTCTGCCGCTGGCTGTGGAAAGTCTAGAATTCTGCTCTGGACTGAGTTTATATGAAGAGTGACTGTGATGTTCTCTAGGTCTTCCAGGTCAAACTGCAGTTCGGATGTAGCAGGTTCTCGGTTTTCAAAAGTTGAGAAGACATGCACCGCTGTTAATGACATACCCTTTGAGTCCGCAAACACAACCTTCTTTTTGGCCTTGGATTTTGGGGTCTGCCAGCCCAGACGAGGGGGCTCCAGGTGGGTTCTGGAGCTCAAGCAGGGCCGCAGGGGTTTGTAGCAGGTGTTGACCAGGTTGTGTTTCCTGTAGTCTTCATAAGAGCTCAGGAAGCTGTGCAGTGGGGGAGAATGGGTGATGTACAGCTGCACGGCCACATCCACAGGCATAACTGGACCCGGCGTTGGGGGACTGAGGAGATGAAGAACTCTAAACACATACAGACAAAAGACAACCCAGTGAGTACAATGTCTTTAAAATGGTTCTTAAGACATTCTGCTATAAAATGATATTCTTGGAGGAAGCAGTCTGCCTTTATGAAACAACACAATACAAATTAGACATGAGTGAAAATGACAAATGATTGTGACAGCGGCCCTTGAACTCCCCACAGGAAGTAAAAACATAAGGTTGCAGGGCTCTGCTTGATTATACATGACAATATATGTGCTAGGGTTTCAAACATTTCAGTACTAACTACAAAAGTTTTTTATGGTTGGCTTTCACATGATAAAATGTGCGAACTTACATTTTTGTTAGAATGATACGTGACAAAACAAAGATTGCCATTAAAACTTAAATCTAGATTTACATAAAAAAAGATAAATAAAATAATTAGAGAGAGGTTAATTTTGTTTTTAAAAATCTTTAATACTCTCGAAGTGTCGCTAAATGTAGGCCTAATAGAGGCATCAGAAAACCCTTTGCGTTATTTAAACCTTTGTATTGGTTTAAATAACGCTCTTACCTTGTGGAACTCGTGGAGAAAGTGCTTCAGTTTAAAGTGGTCTCTTGAGCAAAGCACATTACAGGAGATACAGGATTTGTAAGCAATTCCAGAGCGCTTGTTGTAATGTAAAATTCGTTATTTTAGCAGTTCACCCCCAGAACTATAGCTTGTCCGCTGTGCTCTGCCGACACACCCACTCCACGCTGCGCACACTGCGAGTCCTTTAATAAAGCCTCTTGCCGCTTATTTGCATATTCCACACCCCAGCCAATAACCGAGCCGCATATTTTTGTGTCGACCAATCATCACTGGAAGAGATTTAGAAGCCGTGGACCCCTGTCGGTGCAAATTGTATCGCACTCGCGTGTGAATACCTACTGCTTATTAATGTCTTTTTGTTAAAGCTACAGTCCATAACTTTTTTTGGTTAAAAATGATCCGAAATCAATGTTTGAGCAAGTACATAATCAGCCAGTGTTCAAAACTATCACCTTACTTTAGCCTGATTCACAGCTGTTAGCTTATAATAATGTTTAATTTGAGTGGTACGGGTAGGTTTTCGCGGGAAATTCGAGCATGGCATATATCGAGCATTACGTCACGTCTATAAACATAAAGAAGTTGTCCCGGCTACTAGGTTATCGCATGTGAGGATCCTGCAGGTGGCCGATCATTTATAGCCTTTTCTCACAGCAACCAGAATAATTAAATGTATAATTTTGATGGCGGATTGTAATCCAAAAAGGATTGTGTGTTTATGAAACACATGTGAATGAAATTAAATTATATTCCAGTTATAAATGTGCTTCTGATTACAGATAGCCTGGGATTATAAAGATTTGTATTTTAAAGAAAACCAGTTCGAAGGGAGCATAATTTGCTTTTTGGGTTAAAAGAATTTTAATCTAATGACAATTAGACTGTGCAGAAATTGAAATCTACTGGCTAATACACACTATAGTCACCAATGCTGATGTTGTTAACATTAATCATTTGAGAATAAAGTATAACAATAATAATAATTTGAACAGTTTGATGTGATATGAGCTAACCGATCTTTAGATTTAATCACCATTGGTAGCAAGATTTATGGTAATGCTTTTTTCCTCAGTTGGTCAGAACAAACGTGGCAGACTTGTTACTTACTTGTTCAGATGGCAATATATGGTGAAAATTCTTATTTGGGTCATATTCCAAGTAGGCTAGAATCTGTGATTGCGAAGTACAGTAATGTTAAATATCCACACCGGTGCGGTGACTGACTGCCACACATACTCTTCAGAACATTAGATTCATCCGCGCCGTGTCGACTTCACAACCCATGCTAGCTAGATAATTCCTCACTCAGCTGCAATTCCAGGTTTTTAAACAGAGATGGCGACAAAGAGGCAAAACTTACGGACTGCAGCTTTAAAGTGACATCCTCTTGGGTGTAGTAATGGTTGTAGTTTATATTCTTTTATTTCGAGACTTGTAAATGTTAGGCTATCTTCATTCAGGTGGAGGTGACGCAGCAGGGTAATCTTTAATCTATTGAGCGTGGTTGTTTGCCCTGTGAATGTAGGTCATGGATAAAGTTCATCTTTATTTTCTGAAGGTTGTAAAAAACCATGAATCTAAACTTATCACTGACACTAACACTAACAATTTATACAAAAGTATATAACACTACCACTAAGACCCAACAGTGCCTGGTGTGTTGCATTGTCCAAAGGTCCAAATAGCTCTTCTTTGGCTCAATTCCAATACGTGACTGTGGCGCATGATAGAATAATCTGATTTTATAAGCACTCCAAATTGAAATTCAGGCCATCCAGTCTTCATGCAAGCTATACTAACTAAAAAAACTGACATTTTGTCTTTGTCAGTCAGTCTCTTCCCTATTTCTCTCATAGTTGCGTGGTTTTATCACAGTGATCATTATTTGATTAACGATTAAGTGACATTCTCTGATTGATTGATGTGCCCAGATGTCCTCCTAAGTGATCAATACCATAACACCTTCCTTATTGATGTGCAAATGTTGAAGCTGTTTCGATTGTATGTGTTGGTGATTAGAAGTTATCAGTCCAATGGGGCACGAAATAGCAAAGGGCCCAAACATGTGCAAATATAACAATCTAAGACCTCTCTTTCTCTCTCGAAATGTAGCAACACCAAGACCATGGGTTTGATTCCCAAGGATCATGGAACGAGGCCCCTACACGGTGATGAAAATATGAGATAGGAGGGGAAATCATATTCCAACGCTTTTGCGTTCTCTCGCTAAAGCTTTGCTTTTCGCCGAGAAACATTTGGTTCGGTCGCAAAACTAATGCGTTTCGCCGAGAAACTTTTTGCTCGGTCACAAAACTTATGCGGTTCGCCGAGAATTTCTTCGTTCAGTCGCAAAACGTTTCATTTGATCACAAAACCTTTGCGTATATACATATATAGCCCACACTATCCGCTCCGGAGCGGTATTCAAGGGTTAGTGTATCCCATCGTGCATCATGTTCTGGAAATAAATCGTGAGACTTTTTGCCAAGATCGCGCGAGAGGTCACGGAAACCTTTCCAATGTAAGTTAAATATTAATAATAATAAGATATTACATATAATTTGGTAGTAAAACAAAGTGCTACACATTTTATTGCTGCACATTTATATTAATATTTATTTTTGTACAACATTTGCAACTGCTTTTTATCACTTAATTGTGTCATCTATGGGGACTACTGAACAGACATTTAGTAGTTGATTTTAAAATGCAAAGTATTGAAAATAATAATAAAACTCTGTAAACACTTTGCGTTTTTACAACACTATAAGTGTGTCCCATCAGGTAATGAAAAGTTGTACACACACTTGTGGTCTTCATGCTCACTTGAACACTTGGGCCAAATACAGGAAATACATCATATAAGTAGTCAAGTGGTCAAGTGCAAAGACCACAAGTGTGTGTATTTGGACAAGGCAAGAGTTTCGCTCCAACCCTAATTAAACACACCTGATCCAGCTAATCAGGTACGACTTATTTGAAAACTACATGGTATGTGTGTTGGAGCAGGCTTGGAACTAAACTCTGCAGGGCTGCGGCCCTCCAGGAACTGAGTTTGATACCCCTGATTTAGACTGACCATCCATAAATGTTGTTGCTACTGTGGCATAAGGATATGCTATAACCTTGCAATTGCATAATAAGTCCTGTTTCATGCTGCCAAGCCCCACTATGGCACACAACCTGAAATAAAATGAGTGCTTGGCTGTGTTACAAAACTTCAATGTCTTATTCGGTGTACTTGTTACCAACTGGAATATGCAATGGTGGAGAGAGACATCTAGTGGACACTATAAAGAAAGTATTCATTGTAAATTTAGTCTTATTATCTAATCGACACCTGCCTTCCACACTATTTGCAGGGCTGCCATGTCCAATAAAATACAATCTTATTTTAGAGATACTTTTAGATAGATAGTAAGCCAGATTTCCAAACACATTACCTAATTCAGCCAATCAGTAAGCCAGATGCTCACTACCTAGGTTTGGGTAGATGCACCACGCCAACCATCAAAAAAAAAACAAAAACCCTGGCATAGAGGGTTATTTGACATGTTTTTAGTGTCATGAATAGCTGTAGAACACTTCTGCCGACCACCGAACACAAGTTCAGCGGTGATTATGTTGTACAAAAATGTCTCATTTTTGGTTTGGAGGTCGCAAGTCAAAGGCTTTTACAGAAAAGTTTAGTGGCCCAGAACATAAACTGACCCAAACCCACAGAAAATTATCCCCATCTATATGTATATACAATATAATAAACAGAATAAAAACAATGAATTATTAAATACTTATTATTTCATAATATTTGTATAACATTTTTATTTTATGTTTAATTATTTAAAGGAGACATATTATGCCCATTTTTGCAATATGTAATATAAGTCTCAGGTGTCCCCAGAATGTGTCTGGGAAGTTTCAGCTCAAAATACTCCACAGATCATTTATTATAACATTTTGAAAATACCTATTTTGAGTGGAAGCAGAAACAAGCTGTTTTTCGGGGTTGTTTCTTTAAATCCAAATGAGCTGCTGCTCCCCGCCCCCTTTTCCAGAATAGACATGTGCCGTTACAGCTCATACCTACTAAAACGTCTGTTTTGGTTCTGATTATCATGTTTATCGCACTGAAATCATGCGTTTTAAACCATATGAGTTTAAACATGGTTTTCTGAGAACACACATCTGAAGCACACGGACAGAAAGCGGCTGTCACAGGCATGTGAGTACTAAACTAAGTTCTCATTTACACACAAGTTTACATTAAAAACACACACAAGTTACAAAAACAGTCGGCTATGTCTGTGAAGGTAAACTGCTGGGAAATAAATTGCATGTTTATTTTAGAT